TTTCTGGCTAGCTCACTTGGTAAACCACTGGACCCACCCATCAAAACACCCTGATTCGAAACCCGGCAATTTCAACGAGAGAATTGCTGTTGCGACGCATGCATGGTTGAAAGTCAAGCATCGTCTTTTCCTCCTCAGGACTCCATAACACCTGACGACGGCCGAAGAGTTGACTGACCGAGACGTTGTGTACGTATTAATGCACTAGATAATGACGACAGTTAGAAAAATTACTTTCTCGTGGTAAAAACTACCCTAATCTCGCACCTTTGCTGAAACGTCATCATTGGAGACGTAGATGCGCTACTATACACATCTATGTTCGTTTTTTGTAATGCACACGTTAGGCTGCCTTTACGGGTTTGTTACAGTTCCTTCAGCTCAGAATACAATTGCGCATAAACACAAGGATTTGAACTTTCTCTCTCTCTCTCTCTCTCTCTCTCTCTCTCTCTCTCCTCTCTCTCTCTCTCTCTCTCTCTCTCTCTCTCTCTCTCTCTCTCTCTCTCTCTCTCTCTCTCTCTCTCTCTCTCTCTCTCTCTCTCTCTCTCTCTCTCTCTCTCTCTCTCTCTCTCTCTCTCTCTCTCTCTCTCTCTCTCTCTCTCTCTCTCTCTCTCTCTCTCTCTCTCTCTCTCTCTCTCTCTCTCTCTCTCTCTCTCTCTCTCTCTCTCTCTCTCTCTCTCTCTCTCTCTCTCTCTCTCTCTCTCTCTCTCTCTCTCTCTCTCTCTCTCTCTCTCTCTCTCTCTCTCTTTCAGTGTCTTACGAAACACTGATTTAGAACTTCACGAGGTCCTCGCCGGTAGTGATGTGCAATCTATCGCTAAAGCAAACTTTTCTAACTGTAAAGAATCTGCTGTGACAGGGTCTCGTGTCCAAATGATGGTAAAAAAAGAGCATCGAAATACGCCCAGAAACATTTCCAGGTTAGCAAGAACATCTGCTGCAATACCGCTGTGGTCTTTACATTCAACAGCCAGGCGAAGTCCTCACCTTTAGAACTTGGAGTATGAGGCGGGATTTTCTTATTTTCTAGGTCATTACGCTTATTTCTTGATTGGACTAATGTTACCCGTCTCATGTTAATTGTTACCGAAAATGGGCCTCGAAGGAAGGATTCTCCAGCTTGATTAAATTTCGCGGTGTAATTGATAGTTGACCATCCGTCACATCACTTCTAGATTGCACATCTGATGGACTTCCCAATTTGGAAAATCGTTTCTCGCGCCGCGAAACGGGCGTTACGTAGCGGGGTCACTCTCTCGGTTATTTGAGTCTCATCCGAACCTTCCATCTTTTATTAGATCACCAGGCTAAATCACCGGCAGGCACAAGACATGCAAATGTCTAGTTCTGGTGCAGAATCGAGCACGCCAGTAATTGGAACACTGGCAGAGTCTGAAGAAACTTGGGGCTTCTTGTAATCTGATAACTGTGGTCATGGAAACCCACTGTTGATAAGAAGTAACCACGGACCAGTGTCATTGTCAAGATAACAATTCAGTGAATATACGCCTTGTGTGGGCTGCGTGTGCGTGTCGAGTTCAACAAAACAGCACTGTCCCCTGGTTAGTTTTTATCCCGGCATTGTCCGCAGCCCGGGTGCCTGGCTGAGCCACGTCCATATCGAGCCTGATCGCAGCCCAGACCCACTCCCACGGATCTCCATGGCCAACAACAGGTGGCTAGCAGTCGTCAGCTCTCTCCCAGGTCATCAAGACAAATCGGTACGGTAAGATCGCCGGCGCAACCCTCCGCCTCCACGCGCAGGCCCAGCCAAGCGACAGCTGGCCGTCCGGGTCAAGGCGTGTCGCAAGCCCGCCTCCCACGACCCCCTCCCCCATCCCTCACCGGCGCAGCGGGTCCCTGGACGCCTCTAGCTGGCACTCCGCGATAGGGCGCAGAATGGTGAGAGGATAGTCGGATCAACTCACCGTTAGTATCGCGGACCGCGTACGCGACCACACGCAGCGTGACTGAACGTAACTTACATTTCCCTAGCATTTTGTTGAGGTTCAAAGTGGCCTGACGTGACCTGCCCCAACCCGACCGGATGCTACCTGACCTGATGTCACCCAGCACGACCTGTCACGTGACCATGTGGCCTTCCCGACCTGAGGTTGTCTGAAATGCTCGAGTCACATCCGCTGCAGTACATGTCTAGACAGGCCCAGTCGGGCTCAGTGCGCGCCTCCTGGTACGTCCCATGGGCCCGGTCAGCGGCGCCACCGCCCAGCAGCAGTCCGCGTCCGCCAGGCGCCGCTTGTTTGCCGCGGACGCCGGCCTAATTCGGTTTTTGCGGCGGCGGCGCGCCGCGGTTTCTATTTCGCGGGAGGGAGCGGCCGCGCTGCGATGTTTGTTTTGGAGGTGCCGACGTCGCCGGTGCGAGGGTCACCGGTGGTGACGCCGGAAATGATCGCCGCCGCGAGCTCGCCCGATGACGTCGGCCGCGGCGGAGAGCCGTGGTTGTGCGGCCAGCGGCACATCACGGAGGTCACCGCGTGGGTGTTCATAAGCACGGAGACACGGCGTGACGCGGCTTACACAGCCGCTGCGAGGGAGAAACATGCCGTCATATAGCTAACCCTGTTTTCGTAACGTGTCTAAAATTGATAGCTGCGTTTTTAGTCTGCGTCGTGTGTTCAGATTTTCGTCGCATTTGATCTGTGTTTGGGGCCCGGGCCTGGTCGGCCTCCGTGCCCATTCAGAGCGGGCCCCCGACACAGAGACCAACGTTCAGAGCCAGCGCCTCCGGACCCCTTCAGGGCCGGTCTGATCGGCCCCCGGATCCCTTCAGCGCCGGCCTGGTCGCCCCCCGGATCCCTTCAGCGCCAGCCTGGCCGGCCCCCGGATCCCTTCAGCGGCGGCCTGGTCGGCCCCCGGCCTCGTCAGTCCTGTTTACCTCGGCGCGGCCCGCGTGACTGCCGAAGATGTTCAACAGGACAGATTGATTGATCCGCTAGGGAAAAATCCACTCCGGACTCTGCCGCCCCCGCCGCCCGCCGACTCATTAGCATTATCAATATTCAATCTGTGCCGGGGCCCGAGAAAAACTAACTCGGCTGCACCTCCGGCGCAGCGGGGAGGGGAGGGGAGGGGAGGGGCGACACCCTCCCTCCGCTCCCACCGGCGCCACAAGCTCGCAGGGTGACGAGGGACGCATGCCTGCCGACCTGCCCTGCAGGTTGGACGGGGAGAGTCAGAAGCCATTAGTATTTCCTTGACTAGGAATGTGCCTTAGCCTTCCAAGAGTGGAAGTGTAGCACGCTATTTTAGTAGCAGATGTGCGATTCGATTGCAGTTGACCATTGGAGTGGGCTTTTGAGATGACATTGACATGGTTGACATGACATGACAACATTGACGTGGATGGCCGATTTTTCCATGCGCGGGCGTATTATTGAGGTTCCTGAAGTACAAAGGACAGGAGGGTAACCTCTCTCGCAGCTCCTGCCTTGTAGTTGTTTTGAGCTTGCGCTTTGAGCTGCATCGCCGGGATCAGCCGGTCGGCAAGGCCTTAAGGTCGGCGTTCGCTGCCCCTGCCACTTCGCTGTCGTGTGCAGCCCATTGACCTTGGTTTCAAATGTTGCTAAGCAAAGCTACGTCGGCGGCAGGGCACATCTGTCAAAGAACGTAACAGTCATGACGGCCAGGAGCCGGCCCGCCCGCCGGAAAGGCGGACGCTGTGTGGGTGTTCGCGGGTGGTGCCACAGCGGCGGGGGTGAGGTGCGGGTGGCGGCGGGTGGTCCGCTCCGCTGGCTGCCGTCTGGTCGGGTCGCAGGCGCTGCTCATGACAGCCGGTGTCAATCACGTCAGCGTCCAAGGTCTGTTTGGCACCGCGGCGTCCGTTGACCGGCGCGCTTTGCGCCAGACCAAACAAACGTCGCTGCCCTCGGGGTCAGCCGCGCCTGGCGACATCAGGTCAGGTCGCCGCGGATAAGAAGGTCCTCTTGCATTCGGTATTGAGCGCACCAGTGTAGCTTCATGTATGTTAACGAAGGAGCTTGATGTTCGAATGGTACGATTGCCAAGCGCCAAGGGATACACTGTCTGTAAAATATTGACAACCTACTACCTTCCAACATATCCCTTAGGTCACCGGATATTCAGTATGGGAGCCTTTAGCATATGTGATATCCGAAGTGCTGTATTGTTGTTAAAACGTTAATGTTAGAGTATAAGATTTGTCAAAAACTTTGGCGTAGGTACATTTCATGTGCTTTTCTGCCTCGCTTTACTTTCTTAAGTTTTCTTTTCGCCCGCCTTCTATTCATTCTCGAGATGAAAAAGAATCTCGCCGATGCAGGGGAAGCCTTTTGCCCACCGCTTTTACGCGCCGTTGCGAACCTTGCTGCTGTATGACGTGCCACTTCCACCTACAGTCTATTGCACACATTTAAACCGATATTAGATATAATAATAAAGCAATGGTAGATGCTAGTCCTGGCTTTGCGCTGGTAAATAACATGTCCTTTACCATAACAAATTTGTCATTAAGGGTTTTTTTATTATTGGATTGTTGTTTCGGCTGAGCATTTCATTCGGCGTCAGACTAGCGTGCAGATCAGTCTTTTGCCTCTCACTTTACATGACTATACTTGTGAGGGTTACTCAAAGTGTTTCAGTTCATTTAACACGTAGCGCACAGCCATGGTCTCTGCATCTGGGCTTCACTATGCAGCATTACTTGCATGCAATGCAATGCATATTGCATTGCATTACCTGCATGGGAGGAGCCTGCCAGAAGGCTGAGTGACTGAGGCCTTTGATTCCCCTGATGCAAATAAGCAACGCATGTGATATCCTGCGTAGTCCAGTTCGGTAGGCGTGCGTAGTCCAGTTCGGCAGGCGTGTGTCTGTGCGTGCCCCAATCCAGTACGTCTGACACTTGGTTTCAACAGTGGTGTTCTCAGCCTGCCGGCTGTTCGACTTGTTCTATCTCGCAGTTTCGGAACAACATACCACCTGTACATCAAGAGCTAACATACGGCTGTTATGTTTGTTTCTATTACGTGTATGTATTTCGTTTTTCATTATTCCGGCGATGCATACAATTTAAAGGAGCAAATACATGGCAACAATAATGTGCACTATTAATACATTGCATCTCTTGCGAGAGAGCATTACAGCATGCCACTCATTACGAGATGCATCCCGCCTCGTCACTTCCATTGCGGCAGTGGACGAATCCATCGCACTGAGCCAAAGCCGAAACACATATGCCGTCCCCACACGCGAACATTCCTGGACAGCCGCATTCCGACGAAGGACAAGAATGCTCGTCTTCTCCCCCAGCACAATCTCGTCTACCGTCACACTTCTGCCGAATATTTAGGCATTGGCCATCAGAGCACCGGAACTGACCGAGAAGACACCGGTCTGGATTGGGACAGCCACTTTCATCGGAACCATCCCTGCAATCTCGTCTACCGTCACACTTCCGCCGAATATTTAGGCATTGGCCATCAGAGCACCGGAACTGACCGAGAAGACAAGGTTCTGGAACAGGACAGCCGCTTTCATCGGAGCCATCCCTGCAATCTCGTCTACCGTCACACCTCTGGCGAGTATTCAGGCATTGGCCATCAGAGCACCGGAACTGACCGAGAAGACAAGGTGCTGGACCAGGACAGCCGCTTTCATCGGAGCCATCCCTGCAATCTCGCCTACCGTCACACCTCTGGCGAGTATTCAGGCATTGGCCATCAGAGCACCGGAACTGACCGAGAAGACAAGGTTCTGGAACAGGACAGCCGCTTTCATCGGAGCCATCCCTGCAATCTCGTCTACCGTCACACCTCTGGCGAGTATTCAGGCATTGGCCATCAGAGCACCGGAACTGACCGAGAAGACAAGGTGCTGGACCAGGACAGCCGCTTTCATCGGAGCCATCCCTGCAATCTCGTCTACCGTCACACCTCTGGCGAGTATTCAGGCATTGGCCATCAGAGCACCGGAACTGACCGAGAAGACACCGGTCTGGATTGGGACAGCTACTTTCATCAGAACCATCTCTGCAATCTCGCCTGCCATCACAGCGACGCCTGTAGTCAAAACAACGACCGTCGCAACCGAACTCCCCGGATCCACACTGGCTGGGACAATCTCGCTCGTCCTCCCCTCTGCTGCAGTCACTACGACCGTCACATTTCTGGCGAATATTCAGGCATTGGCCATCAGAACACCGGAACTGACCGAGAAGACAACGGTCTGGGCGGGGACAACCACTTTCATCTGAACCATCCCTGCAATCTCGTCTACCGTCACACCTCTGACGAGTATTCAGGCATTGGCCATCAGAACACCGGAACTGACCGAGAAGACAACGGTCTGGATTGGGACAGCCACTTTCATCCGAACCATCCCTGCAATCTCGTCTACCGTCACACCTCTGGCGGGGATTCAGGCAATGACCATCAGAGCACCAGAACTGACCGAGAGGACAAGGTTCTGGAACAGGACAGCCGCGTTCATCTGAACCATCCCTGCAATCTCGTCTACCGTCACACCTCTGGCGAGTATTCAGGCATTGGCCATCAGAGCACCGGAACTGACCGAGAAGACAAGGTGCTGGACCAGGACAGCCGCTTTCATCGGAGCCATCCCTGCAATCTCGTCTACCGTCACACCTCTGGCGAGTATTCAGGCATTGGCCATCAGAGCACCGGAACTGACCGAGAAGACAAGGTGCTGGACCAGGACAGCCGCTTTCATCGGAGCCATCCCTGCAATCTCGTCTACCGTCACACCTCTGGCGAGTATTCAGGCATTGGCCATCAGAGCACCGGAACTGACCGAGAAGACAAGGTGCTGGACCAGGACAGCCGCTTTCATCTGAACCATCCCTGCAATCTCGTCTACCGTCACACCTCTGGCGAGTATTCAGGCATTGGCCATCAGAGCACCGGAACTGACCGAGAAGACACCGGTCTGGATTGGAACAACCACTCTCATCAGAACCATCCCTGCAATCTCGTCTGCCATCACAGCGACGCCTGTAGTCAAAGCAACGACCGTCGCAACCGAACTCCCCGGATCCACACTGGCTGGGACAATCTCGCTCGTCCTCCCCTCTGCTGCAGTCACTACGACCGTCACATTTCTGGCGAATATTCAGGCATTGGCCATCAGAACACCGGAACTGACCGAGAAGACAACGGTCTGGATTAGGACAGCCCCTTTCATCCGAACCGTCCCTGCAATCTCGTCTACCGTCACACTTCTGCCGGATGTTCAGACACTGCCCATCGGAGCATCGGAACTGACCGAGCAGACATTGGTTGGAGCAGCCCTCCTCATCGGACCGGTCCGGGCAGTGGAACGCACCGTCACAGCGCTGCCCCAGGTCGATGCAGGTGCCGTTGCGGCAGGTGAAGTGGACGCGCGGGTCACAGGCTGGGCAGTTGACCTCGTCGGAGCCGTCATTGCAGTCACGGTAACCGTTGCAGAGGCCGCGGCGGTCTATGCATTCGCCGTTGGAGCAGCTGTAGTAATGGGCGGGGTCGCACAGGCCCGTGTCCCCGCAGTTTCGCTCGTCCGACCGGTCCAGGCAGTTGGGGAAGCCGTCGCAGAACTTCTCGCGTTCGATGCACTGGCCGTTGCTGCACTGGAAGTAGTGGGGGCCCGGGCAGCCGCCCTGACGTTTCACCGCCCGCTCGCTGCCTTTCGCCTCATCGGCGTTTGGGTCGGCAGCCTCCTCCGTGTCAGGTTCGTGGTCCGGGGCCAAGTGCGTGTCCGGCTCCTCGTCGGCTGTGTCGAGGAGGATGACGTCCTGGGCGACGACCGCGGGCGCGTGCGAATCCGGCGCCGCCTCAGCCTGCTCCTTCGGGGAACTCTCCTCCGCTGAGGCGCACGCAGCCAACAGCAGCAGTACGGCGACGCGCAGCCTCATGGCGGCCCTCTGGACGAGGACGGGCGGCCTCTGGCTGTGCAGCCGACCGCAGCTTGAGAACCGACGCCGGGACACCAGCGCTACTCCATAGAGCGAGCAACGCCTGCCGACCCGCAACGCTGACTGACTCGGACGCCGCCGGGAAGCACACTTAAATTTCCACCTGGTCTCGAGCCGCGACAACAAACAGACGGTGCGATCAAATACACACAGACGGCGACGTCCGGAGCGTGGGCCGTTTGCGACAGCCGGGCCACCCAGGCGCCGCCGCAGCCGGCCGGGGCTGGACAGCGTCGCGGTGCTCAGGCCCCCGAGGAGCTCACGGTGCTCGGCCCAGTTCCGAGCACAGTGCCTCGCGGCGATAACGGCCCACGGGCTACGTTTTCCAGATGTTTATTCCTTGAAGCGGGGTGAGCTCCCGCACTCTGACATGGTGTTCAATGGCGCGCGGTGCCGTAGCAGCATCAACTGCCGGATGAGGCTGCAGTGGTGTGGCTGCGCTTGCTTAGCTTGTGTGACTGCATGCTGGGCTGTTCAGCGCTGGTGAGCCGGCGAGTTCAAAGACAAGTGAAACATTTAAGCGCGTTGCTCTAATGAAATAACAAGATACCCGCGTGCCTTGATTTTGTCAGATAGCCACCTTCTCTTCCGCTCACGGGGCCACGAACTTTGCACCTAATTATCATTTTCACACGACAAATTAAAGCGATCGCCAGAAAGGTCACCGCATGCCTACCCAAAATCGTCGCAGCCTGCCATCTTTTCCCTGCGAGCTTTGCCAAAAGCGAACTGCTTGATGCGTTTATTCAGGTCAACCTCCTTGTACGCAATCAAATTATTCTGTCCATCGCTGATTTAGATCGTGTTTTGTATTATTTGAAAAGGCAAACTGACTGATGCATTTCGAGTTCACTCAGATGTGTGCAATACAGTTTTCATGTTCGTTGTCGATTGACACAGTGTTGTACTGTATAATTTGACTCAAAGTGAGTCAAGAATTTTCTTCTGGCACACGTGTAGCTCACGTGTGTAAACTGTGCGTGCCGGCAGTAGCTACTCCAGTTCATGGTCTGAAAGGTAACGGTAGCATATTACCGGTTATCTGAATGAAAACACACCATGAAAATGGTTGCGTAGGGTTCCAGGTCTTGCAATAGGGAGCTATCATCTGGCAGTTTAGGTGTACGTGGCATCATTTTAAGATGTGTCATTCACCTCATTCGGCATCATTTTAATATGTGTATGGTCGTAAATGGTTTAACCATGCACGCAAGCAATCGTACAAGCGCGCACGGTGAACGCGACCATATATTTGGCAAGGCCAGTCATTCGGAATGAGACAAATGCAGCCTCAGAGCATCTCCACGCCGCCATATTGTTTAACCTTGTGTATCTTAGAAAGCTTGCCACATTATTATTCATTTATTAAGCTCATGCCTATTATCGCATACAATGGGAACAACGTTGTGCGGGACACGAACGGGAAAGACCTTGTGTGGGACACGAGCGGGAACGCCCTTGTGTGAGACACGAACGGGAACGACCTTAGGTGGACACGAACGGGGACAAACTTGTGTGGGGCACGAACGGGAACGACCTTGTGTGGGACACGAACGGCTGCGACCTTGTGTGGGACGCCTGAAGGACCGGGATGCAAGCAGACTTCACGAACATCCGGTAGCGGGGCGACAACCGGGTTTTGATGGCGTGTATAAGCAGGTACAAGGGAACAAGCTTCTTGCTATGATGCATACAGCCTTGACCATCTCGAAGGTCTCTGAGTGCCGGATGAGGAAAGGTGGGCTTGTATGCACAGCGATTGAGTGTGCCCGTTGCAAATAGCGTGTGGGGTAAGATTCTGGGTAGACCGGAAGAAAGGACCGTGTACCGATGACTAACGCATGGGAAACATTGGCGGCACCAGATTAATCCATAAGTAATCCGTGTAGACCTTGGAATGTTTGCTTCTCATGGCTGGCCCTTCCGCATCTCACGCTCCCCCCCCCCCCTCTCACCCCTTCCCCTCTTCCTCTCTCTCCCCCACTCCCTCCGATATTCCCTCTCCTTCTCATTCTCACTCTCCCTCTCCGCTCTTTCTATTTCTTTCTCTCCGCCCCTCCCGTTCTCCCTGTCCTCTCTCGGCAGCCGTACCAGCCAGCCGAACAGCCGGCCGTTGATTGCCGTAATCCGTTGGTCGCGTAGCATGACCCGCGCCATTTAGAGTCGCGCCGTATTGTGCGCGGCCCTCGTCGCCTGCCGCGCCACCGCCCGTCACGCCCGCGCAGCGTCACCTGCCGCACCGTCGCGGCGCGGGCGGTACCCGACTCAGGGGCATGTGGGGATCGAGCTGAGGATAGCTGATGCTGGAGACCTGGCGCTGTTGTGCGGTGGCCGGCGGGAGTGGCAGTATTGGAGACCTGGCGCTGTTGTGCGGTAGCCGGCGGGAGTGGCAGTATTGGGGACCTGGCGCTGTTGTGCGGTGGCCGGCGGGAGTGGCAATATTGGAGACATGGCGCTGTCGCTCGGTAGCCGGCGGGAGTGGCAATATTGGAGACCTGGCGCTGTCGTGCGGTAGACGGCGGGAGTGGCAATATTGGAGACCTGGCGCTGTCGTGCGGTAGCCGGCGGGAGTGGCAGTATTGGAGACCTGGCGCTGTCGTGCGGTAGACGGTGGGAGTGGCAATATTGGAGACCTGGCGCTGTCGTGCGGTAGCCGACGGGAGTGGCAGTATTGGAGACCTGGCGCTGTCGTGCGGTAGCCGGCGGGAGTGGCAATATTGGAGACATGGCGCTGCTGTGCGGCAGCCGGCGGGAGTGGCAGTATTGGAGACCTGGCACTGTTGTGCGGTAGCCGGCGGGGTGGCAATATTGGAGACCTGGCGCTGTCGTGCGGTAGACGGGGGGAGTGGCAATATTGGAGACCTGGCGCTGTCGTGCGGTAGCCGACGGGAGTGGCAGTATTGGAGACCTGGCGCTGTCGTGCGGTAGCCGGCGGGAGTGGCAATATTGGAGACCTGGCGCTGTCGTGCGGTAGACGGTGGGAGTGGCAATATTGGAGACCTGGCGCTGTTGTGCAGTAGCCGGCGGGAGTGGCAGTATTGGAGACCTGGCGCTGTCGTGCGGTAGACGGTGGGAGTGGCAATATTGGAGACCTGGCGCTGTCGTGCGGTAGCCGACGGGAGTGACAGTATTGGAGACCTGGCGCTGTCGTGCGGTAGCCGGCGGGAGTGGCAATATTGGAGACATGGCGCTGTCGTGCGGTAGCCGGCGGGAGTGGCAATATTGGAGACCTGGCGCTGCTGTGCGGTAGCCGGCGGGAGTGGCAGTATTGGAGACCTGGCGCTGTTGTGCGGTAGCCGACGGGGGTGGCAATATTGGAGACCTGGCGCTGTTGTGCGGTAGACGGCGGGAGTGGCAGTATTGGAGACCTGGCGCTGTTGTGCGGTAGCCGACGGGAGTGACAGTATTGGAGACATGGCGCTGTTGTGCGGTAGCCGGCGTGAGTGGCAATATTGGAGACCTGGCGCTGTCGTGCGGTAGACGGTGGGAGTGGCAATATTGGAGACCTGGCGCTGTTGTGCGGTAGCCGACGGGAGTGGCAATATTGGAGACCTAGCGCTGTCGTGCGGTAGCCGGCGGGAGTGGCAATGGACCACGCAAAAACACAGCTCCGGTACACTGAAACATCTCGTCATCACCACAACCCGCAACCAGCCCCTTGCACAGCACCTCCATCTACCTCTCCTACATCATCATGCACATCCAACATTGAAAGAACGTGTCACACACAGCACTGCACGATTCACTAGGGGCGTGCTCGCGTGGTGGTTCACATGGTCACGTGACCCCGTCATAAAATGTGTTGCATGCATTGGCATCTATGTAAATGCACTTTGATGATAGGAGCCAAGCAGATGCACAAATTCAAACAGTTGGAAGACATGCGATATCGCTCAGTCTTTTTCAGTGAAAACGTTTTAGTTGCGCCCCGCCCCTTTTTACCTTCCTGCGTACACCCTGCAATGAACAAGGTCCCTCTGTTTCTATCTCCGCTTTTTGGCAACGCATTTTCACTCTGTGAGACAGCTTTGAGCACTGCACAAGTCAGTCTAAAAGAGCCTAGATTAGTTTTTGCATATTGATCGGTGAATATAAACCAGAGGAGCGCGAAGGCTGGGCCATATTACACCACATATTTATTTGTCTGGTGTAATGAATCGAACGACGTCAAAAAATCTTAAAGCACTGTTGTATTGCGAATAATTTGTTTCCTACGCACTAGACATTGACGTCTGCACAAGCTGTTTTCATACCGCTCGAGTGAGCACTTTGCTTGGATCAGACTTGATCAGACTGCCAGTGCGGGCATGCTGTTCTAACCCGCCGCGGCAATGCGGCGCGAAAGGACGAGATAACAATAATGATAGTGGTTGGCCGAGTCTCTCAAATGTAGACTCCAATTACACTGACTATCTGTCCTGATGACGTGATGTCTATGGTTGTAACGATCACGGGACAAACGACGGCGACACAGGGCGCTTACCACACCAAAGTCAGCCTTTGTCAGCCAGTCCTTTTACATGCCGCCAGGACAGCTCTGCTCACAAAACGAACCCATCAATTACCCGTTATTCATGGATGGTGGTCGGAAAAAAAGACTTCCATTGTTTATGTCGCACGCTTCCCAGTGGGGGACATTTAATGCATTTCTGATGAAGCCTGGAGATGGTGTGAAAGGTTTTCGGGGCGTCGACCGCGTCGCTTTGAGCTCCCGCCCGACATCTGTGGCGGGGTGGCCTGGAGATGGAAATGAGCTCCGCCTCTGTACGGGGCGATCGCCGGTTGTCGATGTTATGAAGAGAAATGACCCACCGACCGCCGCCAGCTTTTCATTAAAGTGCGGATTATATGGTCGCTCTGCAAACAGCAGGGGGAGCGAACGCAATATTTGCGGCCCGCTGCATTGCTGAAATTCTTCCAGGGGTGCCTTTAACTTTAAGCTGTTGCCATTTAGTGTGTTGTCACGCTTGTCTAGCCTATGCCTTATTGCGTTCCACCCTTACCTATATGTGGCACTGGCCATGCCTTAAGGCTTGAAACTCAAGCAAATAC